TGATAGGTGTACCTGAATGTGACGAAGAGAATGAATCCAAGCTGGAAAATACGCTTCAGGATATTATTCAGGAAAATTTTCCCAACCTAGTAAGGCACGATAATATTCAACTCCAGGTAATACAGAGAACACCACAAAGATATTCCTCAAGAAGAGCAACCCCAAGGCACATAATTGTCAGATTCACCAGGGTTGAAATGAAGGAGAAAATACTAAGGGCAGCCAGAGAGAAAGGTCAGGTTACTCACAAAGGGAAGCCTATCAGACTTACAGCAGATCTCTCAGCAGAAACCCTACAAGCCAGAAGAGAGTGGGGACCAATATTCAACATCCTTAAAGAAAAGAACTTTCAACCAAGAATTTCACATCCAGCCAAACTAAGCTTCATAAGTGAAGGAAAAATAAAGTTTTTTCTGAATAAACAAGCACTCAGCTTTCATCACTACCAGACCTGCTTTACAAGAGCTTCTGAAAGAACCACTACACATAGAAAGGAACAAACAGTATCAGCCTTTCTAAAAAATACTAAAAAGAGCATCAATAAAATGAAGAATTTACATCAACTAATGGGCAAAATAGCCAGCTAATATTAAATGGCAGTATTAAACTCACGTATATGTCATTAATTCTAAATTTAAATCAACTAAATCCCCCAATCCAAAGACAGACAGCCAATTTGAATAAAAAACTAAAACCCATCAGTATGCTGCATCCAGACCCATCTCACATTTAAGGATACACAAAGACTCAAAACAAGGGATGGAGAAAGATTTACCAACCAACCAGAGAGCTAAAATAAATAAATAAAAAGCAGAAGTTACAATTTTGCCTCTGATAAAATAGTCGTTAAAGCAACAAAGATCAAAAGAAGCAAAGAAGGACATTATATAATGATAAAAGGATCAATGCAACAACAAGAAGAGCTAAAGATCCTAAACATATACACACCCAATACAGGAATACCCAGACATACAAGACTAATAAAGAGACTTAGACTCCCACACAATAATAGTGGGAGACTTCAACATTAATATTAGACAGATCAATGAGACAGAAAATTAACAACGATATCCAGGACTTGAACTCAGATCTGGAACAAGTAAACGTAATTAACATTTATAGAACTCTCCACTTTAAATACACAAAATATACACTCTTATCAGTACCACATCATATCAACTTAGAAGTTTAAACAAAATGTTGGCTGGCTCCTTGTTTGTTATTCTCTTCCCTCATTTTCTTTTATGTCTCCATTATAGGACAATTATAGGCATACCCATATTTAGATTGTATTCTAGCCCGGGCAATAAAGCAATACCCCCATCCTCTCTCCCTCTTCCTCTTTCTTCCTCTTCTTTATTCTTTTTCTTATTAAAAAAGAAAGAAAGAAAGAAAGAAACCAACCCCCAAATGTCAGGGAAAAAAAAAAAAATTAGATGGGCATGGTGGGCATGTGCCTGTAATCCCAGCTACTCGGGAGGCTGAGGCACGAGAATTGCTAGAACCCAGGAGGTGGAGGTTGCAGTGAGATGAGATTGCACCACTGTACTTCAGCTTGGACGACAGAGCCAGACTCTGTCCTGGGGGAAAAAAAATAATAATAATTTTTTTTAAAAGGCTGACCAGGAAATCATGCCCTCTAAGCATTTAAAGCCTGCAAATGGCCACTAAATAAATAAATAAATAAATAAAAATAAATGAATTTGCAGTGTATGTGATGCCTGGGATTGCAGCAGCTACCGTCGGGTTCCTGGGGCAAGGCTGGAGAGTGCAACAAAAGCCTGGGCATGCCAACCAGTACCCTAGCCCATGAGGGCCTCCCCTCAGTACAGCCACGCTCCCTGCCACCTGCTTGTTTAGCAAGGTGTACAGTGTGTGGCTGCATGCTCTGTTAGAAAGCATTAAGTCCTCCCTCTATAGTTCGACTGTCATATCTTGCCTTTCTTGACTACTCAAGTAAAAAAAAATAATAATAATAATAAAAATAAACAAACCCCGCCGGGCGCAATGGCTCAAGCCTGTAATCCCAGCTCTTTGGGAGGCCAAGGTGGGTGGATCACAAGGTCAAGAGATCGAGACCATCCTGGTCAACATGGTGAAACCCCGTCTCTACTAAAAATACAAAAGATTAGCCGGGCGTGGTGGTGCGTGCCTGTAATCCCAGCTACTCAGGAGGCTGAGGCAGGAGAATTGCCTGAACCCAGGAGGCGGAGGTTGCGGTGAGCTGAGATCGCACCATTGCACTCCAGCCTGGGTAAAAAGAGTGAAACTCCGTCTCAAGAAAAAATTAAATAAAATAAACAAACCCCAAACTAGAGTTTTCTCTAAGATAAAGAATGAATTCACCTTTCAGGAGAAATGTAAAACTCAGCACATCCATTTCCTAACTAGAGTTCTATCTTGTGCTACAAGAGTCAAGCTTGCTTTTATACTGAACTGTGCATGGAATTTACAATTTAAGGGCTCAGTGTGGACTCTTCGCCTGGGCTGCAGAGTGCAGTAAAACTGTAATCATATGTTATAGCCTACAACCTCCGTCCCAATTAAGGCCTATCCCAAAAGTTCCTTAACTTTTAGCCTTAAGGCTAAAATCGTCTTGTGCCATCTGCGGTCAGTCTCAACAGAGGGTTGGCAGGCGTGAGGCAAAGGACCCTAACTGGCAGGGCAAGTCCACCTCCAGGCTCCAAGTACTCTGACTTCTTAAGATCTGAGAAACAAATGGAAATTTATGTGAGAAAGCTGGAGTGACATGACATAGCACTTCCTGACAGGAGTCTTCCTTTCTCAGAAAGGCAGAGGTGTCACTAAGAAGAATCCAGCCTAGGGGCAAACTGTTTCTGCTTTCCCCTAACCACTTGGAAAAAAAAAAATAAATAATGAGATTAAATCTTCCATTCAAAAAAAGATGAGGGAGGAGATGTGGAAAGGAGGTCAAAATTAAGAGCGTCAAACCCGAGATTGGGAAATCTTCTCCAAGTGTGAAACAGCAGTTCTAGTTTGCATTACATTTTCTGAGTACTGCCGGTGCATTAGGCCCCCAGCTGATCTGAATGTGCTGTTACTGTAACAATGAAAATTCATTTGTTCAGGGGGCATGGGGGAGATAAGGGAGTCATGCAATTTACTACTTGTACTAACTAGTTTGGTAACTGTCCCCAAATTGTGATTTTACATGGTCTGTCACTACACTAGAGTCATATGGATTTACTTTCAAAACCATGCTGTAAATCATGTATATGGTTCATCCTCAATTACTGATGTAGCTGTTTCTCTGGTCAAAAAATATGATTCCCATAAAACCTCAGGTAAAGCATGATAGATCTGGGAGACAGTCCTGAACGTCCGGTTCCCAAATTGCTGCATTAGTCTATGTCTATGCTACCTGTATTCTAAGCTTTTCAGTCGCTCAGGACCCTTCATGGAGGGATGTGGACTCTGGACTTAAGGAGGACCCTAATGGAAATGTGCAGGAACAGAGATCAAGCCATTCAAGGGACAGTCACTGAAGACCGCTTTCAACGTCCTTCACAGTCCTTCATTTCCTGCCTTAAAGGCAACGGAGATCATATATGCTTTTCCCCTCACAACATCTACTGCCTGAAAAATCTGACCAAGACTGCATTTAAAAACTGAAGTGTAAAGGTATTGTTTTTAAGAACAAACACCAAGGCGGGCGGATCACCTGAGGTCAAGAGTTCAAGATCAGCCTAACCAACATGGTGAAACCCCGTCTTTAAAAAAAATTATAAAAAAAAAACCGAAAACGAACAAACAGCTGCCGGGAGCGGTGGCTCACGCCTGTAATCCCACCACTTTGGGAGGCCGAGGCCAGCGGATCACGAGGTCAGGAGTTCGAGGCCAGCCTGACCAGCCCGGAGAAACCCTGTCTTTACTAAAAATACAAAATTAGCCGGGCGTAGTGGCGCATACCTGTAATCCCAGTTACTGGGCTACTGGGGAGGCTGAGGCAGGAGAATCGCTTGAACCCGGAAGGCGGAAGTGACAGTAAGCTGAGATTGCGCCAGCCTCCAGCTCAGCCACGCTCAGCACTGGCTGCTCTGAAATTTCATGTCCACACCATTCATGCTCTAAACCATTCCCTATATTGGTTTGTTCTGTGGCTGGATAAAACCCAAACTTTATCCATACAGTGTTTCTGTACTTCACACATACAGAGTTTCCATCAAATCCCTTTATTGAGTCTACAACGGTCTCCAACTTCAAATTCACTCCAATACAAATCTGATTCTAACCATGCCAGCCATTCCAAAATCATCTCCCCTCTAAAGCCTACATTGGCTAATCCTTTGTTAAACCTGAACACGATTCCAGCTACTTTTATGACTCATTTGGCCAACTAGGGCCCAGTTACTGGATAACAGGCATGCACCACTAAGCTGAACTAATTAACACCAGAATGCAGTTTTCCACTGAATCTACCAAGGGCCAAGAACTGCTTTTCCCCACGGTTCCCTCTCTCTTTACTCATCAGACTGGTGTGGTCCAGGGTGCTGCGGGCATTCTCTTTCATTTATAGGAGTGCCTCCCACGGCGAAATGTAAAAAGTATGATGTAGAGAGGGAGAACTAATCTACAAGGGCTCTAGGTTTTCAAGGACAAAGGTTCTCATTTTAGGGAATCCAACAATAACTCAATTGCCTCCACTTTCATAGGTACTGTACAATGAGTTTCCCAATATTATGAGGGAGGCCCGATCTGTCAGGCTCTCTTAACAAGAGGGGCTTGGATTTGGAAAGGCTAAAGTGCCTTAATCAGGGCGAGAGGCACACCCAGTGAGGTCCATTGGACCCCAAAGGCCATGTTCTAGAGCGTTGCGCTCGCCATCCCACCTCCGATCCGTTCTCCCCCGGCCCGGCATCTCCCGCGAGGCACCCCCCTCCCGCCGGAAGCCCAGGAAGGGCCTAGGAAGCGGGCGGAGGCGAGAGCCAGGAGAGGACCCGCAAAGCCAGCCGCCGGGACGCCGAACGCAGGAGGCTCACCTGTAGGCGGCCACGGCGCGGGTCTGCAGGTATTTCTGGGCGGTCATGACTCCCACGAAGAGAAAGTTCCTGTCGCGCTGGCCGCCATCTGGAGCAGAGCCGGGAGGCCAGAGCTGCGCCCCGCGCGCATCGCCGCGCGTCCCGCCGGCCTGGGAAGCCGCCGCCTGCCCGGACCGGCAGCCCTCGGGGCTGGCGCGGCGCCGTGGGCCCGCTCGCTTCAGCTCGGAGGCGCGGGGCAGGACGAGCCGCGAGGCCAGCACGAAGCCCAGGACGAGCCCGAGCAGCACGCTGAGCCAGGCGCGCCGGCCGCGCGCGGCCATGCCCGCGCCGCTCCGCCCGCCGGGCCGCCGCCGCCGCAGGCTCCGCGCGCCCTCAGCCCGCCGCCCCCGCCCGCGGAGGCCAGCCCGCCCTAGCGCCGCGAGGCCCGGCCCGGGCAGCGCAGCGGCCGCCGCGGGCCCGCCGCGCCCATCGCGGCCCCCGAGCCGCCCGCAGGCCCCGCGCCGGCGCTTTGTTCCGCACGCCCGCCCCCGCCGCCGCGGCCTGCGCCTTTAAGAGGGGACCATGCCCGGCGCGCGCCGGCGGCGGCTCGGGCGCGAGGCGGCGGCGGCTCCTCCCGCTCGCGCGCGGAGGCGCGGGACCGGCACGACCGCGACGACGGTGGCAGCCGCGTCCGGGCCCCCGTCCCGCCCCGCCCGCGTCCCCCGGCTGGCTCGGCTCGGCTCGGCTCGCGTGGCGCCTGCCCCCGTCCTCTTCGTGGCCGGCGCCGCCGCCGCAGCTGCACATCCTCCGGCTTAGCTCGCCATTGCAACAGGAGCCCCTCACGTCACGCACAGCGCGTTATGAAGGGGCCCCGCCGGCGGCGCGTCGTGGCCCCTCTCGGGATCCGTCCGCGACGCGCGATTGGCGCAAAAGTGAATGAGGGGCGGTTCACGTGGCCAAAGTTTGACCCAAAAAAAAAAAAAAAAAAAAAAATCCTCTAGGGCGCCCCGCCCGCGCGGTCTGCGACGGGGGCGGCCGGGCGGAGGGGGCGTGGGCTCCGGCTCGGCGCCCGCGGGGCCGGAGCTGCCCGTTATCCGCGCCCAGCACCCGGCGCGAGGGCGGCGGGTTCCTGCACCGCGGCGCCGCGGCGCGAACCTCGGCAGCCAGCCTTGCGACGGGGGCTTCTCTGCCCCCAGACTCCACGCTGCGCACGTCCGCCCCGCACAGACCGTCCTCGCTGCGCCCCGCAGCCACGCCCTTCCTGCCGCCGGCCCGGCCTCCCGCTCCCGGCCCCGCGCTCCGGCTCCCGGCCCCGCGCTCCCGACCACACTGCAGCTTTGTCCGCCGTCCGGCGGCGGCCGCACGCGGGGATCAGCGGTCCCGGAGCGCCGAGGACGAGCGCGCCTGCGAGTTGACCGTGAATTCAGTTACCTTGTTCCCTGTCTCTAGTGTCTACATAAAATAAGAAAAAAAAAAATAATAAAGCATCTTTAGTATTTAAGGTCCACGCTTCTCATACAGTACTAGCATTTAATGAATTTTTTTTAGACGTGGAAAATGATGTTAATGCGCTGCATGGTAAACCTTACTTTTATTTGCACGCTGTGTGGGCAGATAGCCGGCTGGTGCCCCTAGCCTGGGACTTTGTCAGTATTTTAATATAGTCTATCTGCAGAAGTGCCGTGGATTTCTAAAGACAGATTTTGGGTCCCAGATCCTCTACTCCGGATTTTAAGGTTTTTTTTTTTTTTTTTTTTTTTTTTTTTTTTTTTTTTCCTTTTAAACCTCATCCCTGGGCACAAACGGATTTTAAGTTGTATACATTTTCCTCCACAATACTTCAGCTAAGGCAACAAAAGTGGAGGTATCCCTGTAACAAAAGCTTGTGTAGGGTTTCAGTCTTGTTACTTAGTCACCAGTATATTGGGGGTTTCTAATGAGACTTTTGAAGGACAAAGTATTTCCCTGGGCCTGAGAAGTTGTCTTCATTTAATCAAATAAACACAGGAATTAGGACAGAAAGTAAGCATGCTTGGGGCAATCCTGGGACCTTTTCTTCATTGTTGACCAAATGGTTGAAGTAGTATCGCTCAGTTTAAATTACCGAGCTGTGGGAGCTTCAGATAGGCACCTGAATGGTGGTCACTCTTGTTTATTCTTTGGATAGTACCACTTTCTTTGACACTTGTGATTTATGTTAAAAATAGTTCATTACCCACCTTCCCACAGACTCCCTCCCTAAGAGGTGATCCACATCTAAAAATAAAATACTCATTATGCCGTGAATACAGGATTCCAGCAGTGGTCTTGGGAAAAATACAGAACATACAACCATGAATTACAGGCTCGAAAACCATCGAAAGAGGTTTCCAGTAAGACATAAACCACACATGCTGAGGAGTCACCAGATCCCCCACATTCAGCAGCAGCCCCATCATTCACAGTGATTTACATAAAGCGCAAATCTGGCAAGATGCAGATGTTGAATTTTGTGGCATAGTCAATGATTTCATTACTTTCTAACCTGCTTTAACTTACCTCGTTTTCTTCTAAACTAGAATCCAATGAAAAGCATATAAATACGTGACGGGGATGATATTTTGAGGATGCCAAATATTTTGTCCTCCTCAGTATCCTGGTTCCTAGTTGTCCCTCATTTCCTAGGTCAACAGCCTCACCTGTCTCACCTGCAGGCTCAATGGGGGTCTTTCATAATGTGGAAAGGATACCCTTTTCTTCGTAAAGGCTGAGCCTGAAGGCTTACGGTTTCCTGGAGAAGGAGAGTAACACTTAAGGGGAGCCCCTCTGGGAAAAGAGGGGAATGCCAGGCCAAGGGAGGGTTGGAAGGAGAAGAGAGAAACTGAGGACCTGTAGAGTCTGCCAGGGCAAGGGACTAATTTTGGCCTGCAGCCTAGGAGCAGGGGAGGGAAGCTTTTGCACAGCTTGAAGGAGCAGCTGGATTGTTGAGCTGAGGCCGTTCTCCTGGGGAGGAATCCAAAAGTGTCCCAGCAGGGGGCCTGGATCAGGAGACCGGGCTATCCTAAGTGGGGACTTCACAGCCAGTAGCAAATACCTGGAATCAAGAACTTCACTGACAGCCAGAAGCCTAAAGAGCTGCACAGAACTGTGCCCCCAGTATGAAGGCCTGTGCAAAGCACACCCCGACTAGTCAATACCAGCAAGGAGCCAGGGAGGACAAGGAGGGTGTGGAACATCTGCCCCCAGTGCACACACATGCTTCCTTACCCGAAGCTCCTGGGTGCCAAGGCTGCTGCTCCTCATCCTACGTAGCCCCCCTCACCCTAATTTATTTTTAAAGGTAAGGAGAAGGCAGCGTGAATCAAAGTTATAGGCATTTCACTGCAGTGAGCTGAGGAAAGACTTTTCATGATTCCGGGTTTCTTGATTTCACTGTGCTACGGTCCTTCTCTGTTGAGGGTCATTGATCATTTTTCTTATCATAAGAGAAGGGGAGGTGTTAACTGTTAACAGGAACACTTTAAGGGAAGCCCTGGACTGTAGTTATTCCATGAAACTCCCAGTGGCACACAACTGGCCCAAGAGGTGGATTGTGACGGGTCAGGGATCAGGAGTGTGGGACTGAGTCAGCTCCGCATGGAGTGAGTTCCACTGGGAGGGGCTCTGAGACGCTAGCTGTCTCTAAATGAGTTTTTCTGCTGGATCACATTAAAGGGTCCTCCATAGTGATTCCACACCAATATTTAGAAATGTGTTCAAAAATCCCAGATCACCTAACTTCCCTTCTGTATTCATGAGTGTGACTCTTTATGACACATCATTAAAATTCATTGCTACCTACCTTACTGAACATTTTCTCATAGATTGCAACTTTCTTCCCACACACTCTACATTTTTTCTGCTGGTAATACATTGAAGGCCTGTTACCAGTATAACATTTCATATAATTTGCAGCAATTTCTTGGAAACCCTCGGTAAATACCTCAATCGTTTGTTGGCAGCAAGCCTCAGACAACGGACAGAGTTCCCTGTAAGGGCTTCTGCGCTCACACCTCACACAGGGGGCCTTGGAGAAAGTGGTAATTTTTATTGAAAAAAACTTTTAGAAATGCCTGTTTTAAGAAACAGTGAATGCTGAGGAGTTCTAAGAATCCACCCTTTCAGAAGGTTCTGCTTACTGCCTGCAAAGAAGAAAATCTACAGTGACCACTTTACTAACATTGCCACTTAACCTCTGTTAACCAATAAAATGCTGCTCCATTATTAATGCCGCTATTAAACTTACAAGCAAGATCCTCATTAGGTTATTAATTTTGCTCAATATTTTCTTCTGCTTGCAGCATTTCCAGTCAGATGCAGGAAAGGGCAAGTGAGCAGGGCTTATGTGCGGGCTTCAGACATTGGCCTGCCCAGCCCTGGGTGTTCTGGAATGTCCTTCAGTGCCTCGTGCTGCCAGATTCTGCTTATCAGTAGTGTGCCAGATTCTGCTTATCAGTAGTGTGCTCTGTTTCCGTCAGACGTTGAGTCAGTGTGAGTGCTTCTCACACAAGTATGTGTCTGTGTGAGTGTGAGTGTGTGACAGAAGACTCAGAAGAAATTTAAATTTAGTACAACTCTGTGGGCTGGCCGGATGGGATATGATCTTCCTAACTAGAAGATGTTGGGTGCCGCCAGTACAGGCACTTTTGGGAAACAGCCTGAATGTCCTTTGGGAGATAACCTCACTGCAGAGACTGAGGACACTTGGCTTCTGGTGTAAGAATTAATCCTTGTGTGGGGGAGACATTTGTCTTTCCCATCCCTTGCCAAGAAATGCATTATCTTTAAAAGCAGTGCCAGAGTTTCCACAGCTGGGGAGTTCGCACAAAGACCAAGCTTCCACCCACAGGAGGGAACCTCCTGTCGGCACCCAGGCATTGGACAGCTGGGCAGCAACATGGCCACCTGAGGGCTCTGCACAGCTGGGGCCACATGTGCAGCTCAGACTCTATTCCTTCTGAAGGCCTAACGAAGCATAAAATTGCTTGGGAAAAACATTCAAGCTGCAGAAGAAGGTTTAAGCTACAAATGGATGCAGCAGCAATAGGGATCTACAAACATCTGAAAGTACAATGCAAGAGAAAACACTGTCACCATAAGACCTGTGGCTAAGTGGCCCCAGGTCATTGATGTTTTACACACCCGGTACTTATGCTATCAAACCCAATGCTAAGGTCATATATGCTCTTAAGGCACACCTCAATGCTGTTATCCAAACTTGGCAATTAAGGCCTCTCTAGGAATAATCACTCCCCCTAAACTCTGAGGGAAGTAGGTAGGTTTAGCAAGCACCCAAGATGATTCTGATACCCAGAGTGGTTTGAGAGCCACAGGTCTCTGCTTTCATGTGGCAAATGGGCCAGTTATCCCCCAA